GCTTTATATCAATTTGAGACATTATAATTGTTAAGTATACTAATTTTTTTATTTTTTTTTATTTATTTATTTTTTTTTTTTTCGGGAAAAAAGAGAAGTTTTCTCATTCGAGAAGTAGTGTTTGCTTCCGTCCAAAATGTTTCAGACTGCAATCTCTGGATGCCAATCCCGCAAATGGTACTTTGGACGCAATTCAAAGAACTCATAGCTCAGTCTGGGTGTTGTCCACTTGATTGTGATATGCTTTCAATTGGCATTTGAATGTGGTGCTGCAATATTGGGGCTACGCCTTCAACGGCTTCAATATTAAATGGGTGACAGACAGTCCGGCCGTTTGTTTTATGAAAATTCCAGTTCGTGCTCGTTGCTCACATCATATCAGGCTCTGGCCATTTGCGGGCATTTGTGCATTTGGCAAACCTTTTTCTAATAACGCATGCCAATTTATCGACTTGGAGATGCAAAGCCACAAAAAAAAAAAAAAAAAAAAAAAAAAGAAGAAAAGTAATAAGCAAATAGTTGGCATAATTTGGGTAAGGACGGCAGATATCCATAGCTTGAAGCAGCAGGAGCTGCAGCAGCAGGAGCAGGAGCAGCAGCAGCTGGAGCAGCAGGAGCAGCAGCAGCAGCAGGAGCGGAGTGGCAAATGTTAGGCGATTTTCAACTTGCTTGCCAGGGGACGCTGACCACTGACGTAATCAAATCGACAATCAGTAAGAGATATGTGTGCGCATCAATGTGCCCGAAGGGCTGTTCCAGCACACGAGTGGGCGTGGCACATTTTGGTAACGGCAGCAGCAGCAGCAACAACCTCAAATATTTACCAAGCCAAAAAAGGACGGCGTGCGGCTGCTTTGCCCGGAGCATATTTGGCCTATCCCGAGCAGTGCGTAAATTGCCATTTTCGAACACATTTCAATAAATTTTTGGGTTTTTCTTTTCATTTTATTTTTTTATTTTTATTTTTTTTTTTTCAATGTAACTTTTACAAACTGGCATAAGTTCATGCAGGAGACCTTCCACGAATTTTATTGCTTTTGTAGCTTGTCCGCTGCCCTGTTGATGCGTCGTCTGTCTGTCGACTGTTGACTATCGTCTATCGCCCAGTCATCTCCAGTCACTCGCAAATAACGCATACGCCTCGTGCAACAGGAGTGTCAAGCGACATTTCGAATTCATTTTTTTTTCCGCAACTCTTCTGTTATTGCGCTGTCATTTTATTGTAACGCGACACTGACAAGCAAATAGGCAGACAGATAGGCCGACAGACAGCCGGCCAGTGGCTGCCTTTGATCTTGTCCTGCTTGGAGAGAAATGCAAAGCATTTTACAGCTCCCAGCATTGTTTTCTGTGGAAATTGCGCACATAAACGAAACGCACGTGCATGAAATGGCATCACATTCTTGCCCCTTAGCACACACACACACACACACACACACACACAGACATTCCCACTCAGATGCCAGGGTCACATCTGTCAAAGGATGATGAAACTTTACCATATTTGTTTGACTATCTTGGGAAGCCCTTTCGGTTAATAGATATTATAATTAAAACTGTTTCATTAGTGAAAAATCTTGATCAGATTGTATAAAAGAATGGTGAGAAAGCTGAGTATATTTTAATATATAAAGTAATTTTTGTTATGGGACTAATTTGCATTTTATGCCTACCCAGAATTAATTCTAAATTAAAAGAGAGGATGTTTGGCTATAGTCAGAGGGAACCAACAGCAAAGTGGACGTCCATCTTTTGGTTTATCTATCTGTTCTGTTATCTATAAGTAGAACACACCGAAGTCTTATGAGCTATGGATCTTAATATGGATCTTTTATTAAACAAATAAAATTGATCCTTCCAACCTTCCTTATCTGATGGTAGGAATCTAGCCATAAAAAACAAATTTAAGTTAATAATAATTAAAAAATTCTATCTATCGAATTCTTGAACTCAAATAAGCTCAAGCATGACTCTGGGTATTTTTTAGTCCATATAGAATAGTCTGCTTTTAATTATTTATACACATTAATATCTTAAAGGGTTTTATTTGAATTTAGTATTTTTATACGATGATTATTTCAGCTTGATCTAGCAGCTTGATTTCAGCTATATATATATATATATGTATATACTTGTATACATATTCGTATTTCTGCACAGTATATAGAGCTATTTAAAAAGGTTTTTATCTTATCTTAACAAGCTGTTATTTTTAGAAAGAATTACAGCACCATTTCCAGTGCTGTCTCTGCCATCTGCTGAGCCCGTCGTCTACAGCGAATGGCTTCATTGTTGGGACTCGAGTCTGTCTGCCAACATTATATTTTATAATCATTTTACAGCCGGTGTGATATTTAGAATGCTACCATAAGTTGTTTCATAGCGTGTTGGCGAAAGTTTTTCAGCAGCCATGTTGCCTACCCTGGCAAACATTTCAGCTGCTCTCCGCAATGTTGTTGTTGATGTTGCTGTTGGTGTTTTAGTTGCTGGTGGGCAAAAAGTTGATGCCACCACATGGTAGCTGTTTTGGCAGTTTTATAGTGCTGGCCATAAAGTACTTAAAAGTTTCATTTTACGCCTATTTTGTAGCCAGTGCCCCATTATTAGAACCAGCGAGAGTGACCGGTGGCAAGTGGCAGTGGGTGGGTGGAGCAGCAAGCACAGCAACAGCAGCAGGGCCACAACCTGTGCGGCTGCTAGCAGAATCCAATTTGCTAACAATTTAACAATCATTGCTTTTGGGGCTTGAGCTAGAAGTCAAGTTGTAGCATCATGCGCCCATCAGCCCTTTTAATTGCCTTCTTAAACGAAACAAATTTAAGAGGCCTGTGTCTTCAGTTCGAGTGGCTGATCGCCTATTGCCATCCACCGCCAATTAATGCCACAAGTTGCCAGTGGAAAACCCGATTTCTTATTCGCCATATTCAAAGTTGCCCAAGAGCAATTGCTCGGTAATTGCCTAGGGCTCGACCCGAAAACTTCAGCTTGTCAATAACCCAAGCAACTCAGCAAATGCTGCGGCTCCTTTTGCTGCTGTTGTTTCTCCTGCTGCTGTTGCTGCTGTTATTGCTGTTGCTGTTGCTGTTGTTGTTGCTATGGCTGCTGTTGCTGCTTCTGTTGCTGCTGCTTCTGCTATTGCTGCTTTTGCTGTTGCTGTTGCTGCTGTTGTTACTATGGCGGCTGTTTCTGCTATTGCTAATGCTGCTAATGCTGCTAATGCTGCTGCTGCTGTTTCTGCTATTGCTACAGTTGCTGCTACTGTTGCTGTTGCTTCTGCTGCTACTGCTGTCACTGCTGCTGCTGTTTCTCTTGCTCCTGTTCCTCCTACTGCCGCTTATACTGCTACTACTGCTCATTGCTCCCGCTGCTCCTGCTCTTGCTGCTGCTGCTCTTTGCTGTAAGCTTGCTGTGTGGTTTCATATTCTTCCTTCTTCAACACAAATGTTTTCTTAGCATTTCAAGCCATTGAGCCAAATGTTGAAGAACTTTCGTTTTTTCTTACCCTGTACAAATTGTTGGTAAATTTGCGAGCATTTCATCTATAGTTGACTGTTTGAATAATAGTTTGAAAATACTTTTCCAATTTCAATTCGATTTCGATCAATTTTCTGAAATTAAATTCGCGCAAGTCATGAGTCTCAACTCTTGCCAGTCATGCCATGGCAGCTGCTTGGATCTATGTGAGATATTATATATTGAATCAATTTATCTTTTTAGTGTTTTTGCCGCTTTGCTAGAAGGTATTCTGCAGTCGAACATTTTTATTAAATTTTGCCTTTCCATGCGTCTGCCACTGGTGTTCTTAATGGGTTCTATGTCAGCGCTGAGTTCAAGCTTTCACGTGTAACCATCGAAGGGGGTATATTAGTTTTGTGGGACTGTACGTAAGGAAGGTTTCCATATAGGTTTTTCCGTTTCTTTTTCTGTTTATTTTTTAGGAGCTAATGCAGTACATATGCACATATTCAATATACATATTAATTCTCTGTCATTTCACTCATAGAGTAGAGCAAAGGCCTTAGGCTGAATAATTTGCATGTTTATTAATTTTTATATTGCTCTGTAAGTTTATAATGCAATTATAAATAATTCAGCTAGATTTGAAATGCACGGCCATTTGGCCTACGGCAAAGTGTTTAATAATTTCATGTTCAATTATTTAATTTTATTTTTATGATTACTTTTTTTTTTTCTCATTTGTAATTTGCATTCAGTGTTAATTTGAATGTATTAATTACTTGTGCGTGTGATTAGATGGCATGATTGATTTTTCATTTAGAACTCACACGCACTCTATATATGTACTTATATCATATACATATATATGTTTATAGTTTTCATAGTATGGGCATTTTTTCAGGGCATTTCTCGTTCGATACTTGCGCCTTTTGTACTGTTTCTTGTTATTTTTGAAGTGCTCGAGAGTTGAGAAAATGATGAGTTCGTCTGCGCTTCAATTCGCAATGTAAATTCCTCACGTTCCATTTGAGAAAGAGATGAATTGCTGGCCAAAATGATAATTGGTCAGCGAAGAGTGAGCCCAGAGCAAGGCTTTGGATCTGGACTAGCAAATGCGACAGTCGAGAAAACTCGCCTGATGGACAGACCTTATTAACTCTTCAGTATTATAAAAATATATGTATGTACATTAAATACTGTAAAATTGCGATAGGGCATAACTTGAAATCACAAAATGTAATTATTGGCCAACAAAGCTAGATCCAATAATAGCAACAATAAGCTTGATTGTTGACTGCTTTGCAGTTATGTAATCGTTATATGAACAGGCTTTGATGCCTTTGGCCATCGCTGATTAATCCATAATTATTGATTAAGACAACACTGATTCATGCCAGAGCTTAATTGGATTCTACAACAAATTAGGTCGTTACGAAGTTTTCTTTACTGTGTTGCCACCATTCCGAGAAATTAAACTTGGCAACCTTTGGTGCAGCCAAGTTCAGCGCAGCAGAGCCGAAGACTGATTAATCTACAAAATATTTGAATCAGAAATGAATTTAATTATGCTGTCTAAATTAGTTTACAAATATTTTTGAGTTTTTTAAAGCTGCTCTGAGCAGAGTTTTACACTAAATAGATGAAAGCTGAGATAATTCCACGTCGAATTCGCATTGAGAGGTCAGAGGTAGCGAATGATGACGAATCCGTTGGCTTTTGGCAGCAATCAAAAGCGTAGAGAAGCGAGTCGAATGCAAAGCAAACACGAAACGCATAAAATACAAATGAAATGCACTTGAGCTTATGCCTGGTCGCTGTTTTGTTTCCACTTGACGATGGTCGCGTTGCCGTTGATGTGTTTTGTGTGTTTGCCCGGCCATTCGGGATTCCCAGAGCAGTTGTTCCAGTTTGTAATTGTGCGCGACTTGCGCTGATTTGCCCAACTCAGCCAAGCTTGAGTAATGGAGGGTGTCGCTGACATTCCCCGGATTGCTGGCTGGCCCCTGCGAACGTTCGTGCACATGCTGCAGCCAGAGCAGGCCCCCCTCTCCCGCCATTTCCCAGGAGGCTGGCGATTGCATGTCTATGCATGTAAATGTTCGACTAGCACTCGAGTCGGTTGGATCACTGCTTGCCTGGCTCTGACCGGAGCGGGTGCTTTTCATTCCCTTCTTTTGTTGGCCCAAGTGTCCGTTGTGGCTGAAAGGTGAGCTCGGCTCTGGTACAATGCTCTGTCTTGCACCCACCACCACCAGCACCACCAGCACCACCGACAGCACTGACAGCACCGACAGCAGAGCCAGCCTCAAGCCAATTCCCTGCTGAGGTAACGCTAGATGAAAAATAAACAGTATGCGCTGTGTCCATACCGTAGTCCTCTGCACTTCTTGTTCCTTGTTCTGCTTGCGCTTGCCATTCAAGATGATTTACAGCGCTTTGTACTTGTGCCTGGGCAATGTGGTTGTCCGGCATGGTTAATGGCTCTTGGTATTGGTGCTGGTGGTGGTGCAGGCTTTGGTGCTGGGGCAAGCGCATCCTTTGCTCATTTGCCTTCTGCATTTGTCGCATAATCGTCCATTTTGAAAGCATGCGCCATCAGTTCAACATGCATTGGACTGCCTCACCTTGGGCTCGTCGCTCGCATTATTTAAGCTCCTTTTTATTTGCTGTCTGGCGTTGGGTCTTTGTGCCTTGAAAAGCATTACCATAAAAACGCAACTCCACAATGACGATACACACAGAAGGAGAAACAAGAGAACAGCAGAGAACAAAAAACAAAACATAATAAAAAAGAAGAGAAAAAAAGAAAATAATAATAAAGCACTTGAAACAAACGTTTTCAGTAAATTTAACATTAGCTGCTTTGTGAAAATAATCAGCGAAAGGTTCACTGCGCGCCGGCATAAAACGGGGAGCCGCCACCTCGTAGGCCTCGTTGGGGTTGGGGTTCGTCTGCCGCGAGAAGGGGTCAGTGTAAAAAGTTTTCTTGTTCGGCTCCTGCGACTGCAAGCAGCCAACATTCTTTGTTGCTCGCTATTATTATACTGGCTTGCCATGCGAGCGTGTGTGTGTGTGTGCGTTGGTATATTTACAAACTCTGTAGCATACTTTTCAGCTTGCGTGGCTGTTGTGTGTTAAGGTTAAGAGTTGGCAAGTCCTTTCGGCTGCATAGAACTTCCACTTCCAGGCAGCGACGCTGTCAACTTTGCTGTACATTTCTGATTTATGTGGCGGCACTGCTCAACCGAACATGAGAGCGAGAGAGGGAGTGAGCGGGAGGGCAAGGCAAGCTTCTTTTGCATAGCATACTTTGAGCCGTGCCTGAATTTGTATTTATTTTTATTTTCTCATTTTCTTATGCTAGCCGTCAAAGTGGGCAAATTATTTCAATTTCTATTATCGCATTTTGTGATTGCCGAGCTGCGTTTTTTTTATTTCACAAATTTTTCCAGGAAAATTCTCAGGCATTTCGCATGGCTTGCTGTTGCGCCGAGTTCAAGGTATTTTACAGTTTATTAGCCTAGTTTAAGTTTTGGGCTTTTCTCACTATTGCTTAACTTGGATACAAGTAATTAAGGCATTAATCCATTGGCCATCTTAAAGCTTGAGCCGCACAGTTTTCATTAAAAAGTTCAATTTGCTAAAAGCCATCGAAGTGGCACAAAAGTCGACTCTGATAATGAAAAAGCAAATTGCTGGCAAACTTTAAGGTCGGAAAATAAAATTTGTGCAGCTGCTGCGGCGAAATGTCCAAGAATTATGCCAAATGCAGCGACAGCACAAATTTTGTTGCTCATTTGAACTCAACTCGAAGAACTCGCATAATTGTGCCGCCCCCAATTGCATTGAACAGATTGAATTTTCCGCTCGATTGCAGTTGAAGCTGAAATTTGCAGTTTATTGTAGGGAAAGCATCAGGATATAAAAAGAAAATATTCTTTTTGTGAACTATCGAGTGAATTTTCGATTTCGGGATTTAGTTTATCTTGTTGAAATACGTGCTTTAATGAAATGTTTTCCAAGTCGATAGGATATGAAAGTGAAGTGTTACATAAATAATATTTTATTATATTAAATATATTTAAAAAAAAAAAATATTCCAAAACCTCATAAAGCTGCTCCCCTCTTTATTGTTTTTGGTAATAATTATTTTTTTTTTTTTTTAATTAGTGTTAGTATTAACAAATGCAAATGAATCTATAAAATATGAACATATATTAATATAAAAATTCATTAAGTTGAGGCCAATAAAATAATAATAAAAAATAATGTATCTAATTAACTAGTCATTCTATATTCCAAAATATACTAGTCTTTGAATATATGCAGTTTTATTAAATTTTTATTAAAAGAGCAGAAATAAATTAAAAAATGGCTTAAATTCTCAGTAATTTGAACAGCTTTATAATTTAATGTTAATAAAATATGTATCGTGTTAAAATAATTTTATTTATTTATTTTTTTTTTTTTTTTTTAATTACTTTACTGACCTAAAAAGCTGGCTGACCTGAAAAATAACATTAACGAATTATTTATATGAAAAATGTTGAATCAAAATGTGATTAAATGCTATAAAAATTGCTTGGTTAAGTAAGCTCTTTATTGCCTGAATGTTGGGCATATAAAAACTCTTTTGTTGTCTCTTCCGGCTTGCTTCGACTTCGGGTTTGATACGCGATTGGATAAACTTGCCGGCGCTCTGTCAGTGTCAGGCATTCTGCAAAGTTGTTGCTATATTTGCAGCTAAACAGATCCCGCTGAGAGCAGAGCTGAACAAGCCGGCCACAAAGTGTTTATATTGTAACAGCTTACTTCACAATAGACTTACTTTAGCACACACACACACACACACACACATCCGGTTAGCTGCTGCCATTTGGCATTTCCTGCCCTGGCTTTTATGTCAGCCCTTCCGCATGCAGCGTTTGACGGAGTTTTATGCGTTTCGCTCTAATTTTTTAAGCCAATAGTTGTCCAATCAATTTCAAGTGTTCGCCACCAACTTGAATCTACATAAAAATGCCAGTAAGGCGATCTCAACATACACTCTGTCTCTCTCTTTTTCTTTCCCTCCCTCTCTCTCTCTCTTGTTCACACACACGCGCACATTGCAGTGGCTGGGCAGCTATAAAATTCAGTGTTGACGCAAGGCGATGACGAGGTCGCCAATGGACGATGGCGGCGTCTGGCGAATTGCAAATGCATAAATTTAACTCTACAGCAGTAACTGCAGCAGCAGCAGTCGCAGCAACAACTGCAGTAAAGGAAATGCAGGAAAAAGAAAAATGCTTGCCAAAAAAAAAAAAAAAAAAAAAAAAAAAAACCAGCTGCAAAAACTGACAAAAAAACTGCAGACAAACTGAGCATAACCACCATTCAAATATGAGTGCTATGTGTGTGTACTGTGTGTGTATGTGTGTGTGCTCTTAAAATAAGTGTCCCGCAGCCGTAAGGCAAAGGACTATAGGCATTGAGTAAACAATATTTAAAAGCTATTTAAGAAGTGCTAGAAAATTAAGAGCATTCGTCTATTATGTGAAACGAAGAGCAGCTAGCTGATACGAGTATGTGTATGTGTATTGGTTAGCTGTTGATTTAAGCATAGACATTACACATACAATCTGTTATTCTCAAATAGACTACTCTTTGTACGAACAACTAAGTAATGCTCCCCATTTTATGGCACTCAAGTTTTCCCTTGATTGCAGAGCAACTGCAAGTCAACATCAGCCAGCCGAGATGTCAGACAAGTGTGGCACAGATGGAATCTTGTGTAATATTTAATGTGTATAAGAATGCTCGTATCTACTCGTATATATCTAAATACGCTTTTTGGCAATGAAAAGGCAGCAGCTCTGATTCGGCTGTTGTCTTGCTGGAGCGTCTGGCGTTGGAAAAATTGAAAAACAAATTGCTGACATGGAAAACAATGCATCAAATATTGAATGGACGCTGCCATTCAGTTAGCTATGCCGGGGCCTGTTTTACAATTAATGACAAAAAATGCAAAAACAAACTAGGAAAATTATTTTTGTTTTTGTTTTTTTAAGCCAACAGCTGCCAACACGTATCAGCGGCGAGCAGGGTGGCAGGCGGAGCAGGAGCTGGAGTGAAAGGCTTCCAAAAATATGGGTCATGTTTGCCATGGCGTAATGTGTAGAATGATTGCAACTTTAAAAAGCAAACAAACAACAAAAAAGAGAGAGAGAGAGAGAGAGAGAGAGAAAAAAGCTGCAGCTAGCGAAGCGCCGCCCACAAGCCGGGCGAACGAACCAGCAAGGCAAATAGTAAACAGCAAACTGTCTGCCAGAAGAAGGCAGCAGCACACTGGGCCAGTCCCAGGCCCAGGCTCAGCATGAGGCACTGGCAAGCAAACAAACAAACGGAACGAAACGAAACGAAGCGTCCATACAAATGCCCAAGTCTGAAACTAGGCCTGTCGTCGTTGGGACGCATGCATCATGCATGCAGCCAGCAGTTGCCGTTGAGTGGCAGCTGCCGGTCGACGTCGCAGTTGCAGTTGCAGTTGCAGTAGCAGTCAGCATCAAGTTGAGGTATCGAGTTGAGCTGCATTGGTGTCTGCTTCATTGCAGCGCGGCACTTGCAGTCGCTGTTACTGCGGCTCAGCTTCAGCCCATTTTATGTAGCTTTGACTGCTCTTGTTGACGACGTTGCTGTTGCTGCAGCTACAATTGCCGCTGATTGCGAAAGTATTTGCGAGCAAATGTGAGCCGACTCCCAGGGCTGCAAGCTGCAAACTGAAATGCTATGCCTCATAGCCAGCTGGATGGCAATACAGATACACAAAGTATGTGCAGTGAGCCCTTGTGTTTCGTGTGAGCATCTGGATCTTGTTATAGATAAACTCAATGTGCAGCTTATGCTTGTACTCTCTGTACGACTGGGTGAATAAAGGCTTACAAATTGTGCTGGCTAAGTAAATTCTTGAACTTCATGTTTCGGCTAGATCTGTAAACTAATGTAAGGCGATGCAGCCCTGGTTGGCAGCTGCTCTTTCGATTGCTGATTACAAAAGTATCTATAGGAAAAGGGGCGCAAGCAGATTATCGCTGGGTAGCAACTACCTGGTGGATGTGGCTGTGTCAGCTACGCCCACTATCCACTCAAGCAGTCAACACTCCGGGTCTGCGTCTGAAGTGCCAAGCAGTAAGCAGCAGGAGGCAGGTGGCAGGGGGCGTGCGGCATGCAGCAATAAAAGCTATACGAGTAAGCCGCTTTCATGGCTCTTACGGAGTGGGCGAGCGGGTAGATGCTGTCGCTTGAATACGGTTGATTTAGTTAGTAGGAAACAAATACACATGCAGTGTTACAGTTACAGGCAGCTGCTGCTGAGCTCTGCTCAAGGACTTACCTGCTGAGACCAAAGCGGGCGACTGTGCGAGTTTCGCTTCAGTGCGGCAGCCCGAAGAGCATGACAGGGGGCAGGGCGTGGTGTAGTCTGTTGGGCGGCGTAATTAAATTCTGGCATTTAAACGTTTCATAAGTGCCTGGCAAATGAATTGCAAATGATTTGTAAAGATGCCAGCAAAAAGTTTACAATTACAAAGAGGACAAAGCCACTCGCTAACTGAATGACTAACTGAGCGACTGAATGGCTGAATGACTGAGCGATTGCTCCTTGGCCGCTAGCTCAAAGCGTTTGTCTGATTAAAATTGCGAGAGGCCATAGCAGAAGCAGCAGCAGGAGCAGGAGAACGGGCAGGAGCAGTAGCAGCATCAGTAAAAAAACCCTATTTAACCCAGATTGAAAAACTCGAAATTAGTTTTCATTTACGTTGGTTGCCTGTTGCTCTTAGATGCGGGCGCTTTGGCCGGAGTTTTTACTGCGCTTGCAGTTAATTTTTAATGCACGGCATCTAAAAACCGTAGCTTGGCATGTTATTATGCGTGCTGTACTTAGTGCTGGCAACCCATTAACAACACC